CAAACGGAAGCAGCTGAGCAGGAGCCCAGTGGGGCTTGGAGCTGGTGGAGCCCTCCAGGCTGCTCTGGACTTCCCCACGGGCTGTGGGTGCTGTCCTTCCCCGTCCCCTGCCTGGACCTCTGTATCCACTGCCGCCCTTCTCTGGGCCACTTGAAAACATGGGAGCCACACAGCAGCCAGGAGCTCGGCACAGCGGGCTCTCTCTTGGTCATGAGGATGGCCCTTTGGGTCCATCAAGGCCAGCGTACCCCAGGGAGGGTGAAAGTCCTCCCGGCACGGAGGCGTTGGAGACTCCTGCAGGAGAGCTGCGGTGCCGGGAGATGGGTCTCTTCCCAGCAGGCAGGCAGGCAGAGAGAGCTCCCCCTCCCAGGGCCCCGAGCTGCAGACACCTGGCCACCCGAGGTGCCAGACCCCTGCCCCGGTGGCAGGATGAGGGTTTGAATTGGCTTCTCTTGCCTCTCTCCTACCCAGGCATGGCGGAGGACAGCACAGCTGGCCTGGGTCAGCTGCTGGCCAGCCCTGGGGCTTCCTAATCAGAGGCTCAGGTCCCTTCCCACATTCTTTTCCCTCCCTGGGGACAGCGAGGCCTGGCGGGTGTGAGGGAGCCAGGATAGAGCCCAGCGACAGCCCAGGGCCTGACTCCCTGGGAACACTGGGAGGCCAAGTCTCCTCGAGGAGGACATCACAGTGTCCTCTGGGCTCTTCACTCAAGTGAGGACCACAACTTTACCCAGGAAGCCCTTGCAGCTGAGCTGTAGAGGGGCAGGGGTCAGCAGACCTGGACTCCCCCAGAAGAGCCGGCAATTTCCCATGAGAAAGCCCCTGCCCAGCCCCCACACCGCAGCCACTGGCTGTCCCCTCCCAGGCCTCCTTATCTCCTGGCAGGAGCAAGGTCAGCTGGGGCTGGAACAGCAGGGCAGTCTCAGGGCAGAATCCCACCCCAGCGTGGGAAGGCTGGCTTGCCGGCCTGGACGGGGGAAGCCCACCCAGCCGTGGAGACCAAGGGCCCCTGAGACTCCTGTTCCCTCCACAGGCCGACCCTGGTTTCTCCCACCTGGAAACGTGGATTTCTCAGACGGACAGGACTACAGACCAGAGGCAGAGGGGGGAGGGAGTGACTTGAGGGAGCCCGAGGGCCTGGGGCTTGCCCAGAGACCTGCTGGGGTCCCCTGCACCCCAGGGAGAGTGCTGACCACCCCTGTGTGGGATCGAGGTCCCTGGAGGATCCTGCTCCCAAGAGTCTCAGCCAAGGGAATGCCAAGGCTGGTGGGGGGCCGGGCTCAGGAGGGGCAGCTCTTCTGTCCACCCGCTGCCCACTCCAGGGAGTATTGCCACTAGCAGGCGTAGGGTCACAGGCCTCGGGGAAGTTCCTCCAAATCCTCTGGAGCACCAAGAGGTGACAGCATCGTTTGTCCTACTTTACAGACGGAGACTGAGGTTCAGAGTAGTGGAGTTATTCACCCAAGGCCACACAGTGAGGACCGATGTGGAGCCTCAAACTCAGCCTACCCCTGGGGTGGTCTTTCTAGAGGGACTTAAACAGGAAGCCAAAGCCACTCTGGCCCTGGGGCAACCCAGAAAGGACCCTCACAGCAGAGCCTGCGTTTCTCCCCAGAGCCTGCCTGTCCTCTCCGGTGCCAGCCAGAGTCCATCTGCTCATAAGGGCTGGCACGGGTCAGAGGCCACACCCTGCCCAGGAAGCGGAAGCCACAGCTGGCGTCCACCTAGCTGGGAGATGCGCCCACTCAGGTCACCCAGTCCAGCCAAGTGAACTCACTCTGGCTCCAGGATGGTCTCCTAGAACATGACACATGGCCTGGAGAGGGTTCCGGGCGAGGACCCAGACACCCAGGCTGCCGTGCCAGCACTCGGGGTTTACAGAGTCAATTCATCACGCTGAGCAGTTTCTGGGCCCCGCCATCAACTCGTGCACACCGCCCTACGTGTGAGCAGGCAGCGCTGAGCCCCTCTGGAGACGTCTCGGTTTCCCAGGGCCTGCCCTCACACAGGCAGCGGCCGTCCCCGAGCCTCCTTCGCACTTGCTCTCCAGAGCCGCAATTTCAGGGGAGGGAGGCTGGCAGGGGGACAGAGAAAACAGCAGGCTCTTGGCTCTCAGCAGGGCCTCCTCAGCCACATGGTGACTCGGAGCCACAGCCATCCCAAACACGCAGAGCTGGGGCAGCAGACTCTCGGGGGACCGGGGCCAGGCAAGGGGCAGTCGTGGGGGTGGGAGGCCAGTGCGGGGGTCTGAGGCCGGATCCCTGGCTGAGACACCAAGCAGCCTCCCACCTGGGCCCCTGACCACCTGGTCCATGACCCTGCCTCCAGCCAACTCTGTGGGATGGCGAGAACCGGCCTGTCCTTAGGGACCCCCAACAGAGACACCGAGGCCTCCTGAGCAGCTCAGGCGGAAGCCAGGGTGGATCGGCTTGCTGACACTGCGCTCAGCCCTGGTGGAGCTATAGCCAGAGCCAACCACTTGTGAATGGTCGTCAACACAGGACAGCAGCTCCAGAGCAGGTCACAACCCCCCAGCTTCTGAGAGTAGGGTCTGGGGAAGCCTACCCACCACGGGAACAGCTCTGTTCTAGGAGGGCCTCATCTCCACCCGCCTCGCAGAATCAGGAAACAGACACAGGCAGGCTGGAAAGAGAGCAGCTCTGAGTCTGGGGGCCACAGGCCCTCGGGACCCCCTTTCCCAGGCCTCAACACACCTGCCCAGGAACCCACCCAGAGAATCAGGGAAGGCAGAGGCACAGGTTCGCCACCTCAGCCGTGCAGAACAGCCTCCTGGAGCCTGGAGCCCAGCTCGGGACAGACAGGCCCTGGCCCCTGGGAACCATCTTCCTCCTTGACATGGACTCAAGCCCAGAGCGAGGTCCCTGTGTCGGGTCTGAGGCCCCTCCACCCACTGTGATGGGCCAGCCGAGGCCAGGAGCTCTTCCCAGGAGGGACCCTAGACAGCAGTCCAGTAACTGCCACACCTGGGAGACAGCAAGAGCCCAAGCATCTGCCTGTGACAGGCACCGACTGCAGGGAAGGATCGGTGGGCCAGGCCAGAAGCTGGCTGGACACCCAGGGACTGGTCTGCCCCCAGCCCTGGAGCCAGCCAGGAACCTGACCTGCAGAGTGGAGCTTCCCAGGGTCCAGGCCCTCTCACTCCCCCGCAGGGCCTCCGTCTCATGCTCTGCCTGGTTTCTCACCAAGGGTATGAGGACACCTTGGGCAACCCCTGCCCCAGGCCTGGCTCAGCCCCAGTCTAGCTTCCTGGGCACCATCAAGAATCCAGGTGTCAGACCCCCTCGGCCCAGGTGCAGTGAGCAGGCCCTACGGGAACCAGGCCAGCCGGACCTGGGGGGCTGCAGGGCCAGGCTCTTACCACATCCAAGGGAGCATTCGAGGCCCTTGGCAGGTATAGGAAATTGCCCAGCCCTCTGGCTGACGGGAGCTGGTTATCCCTGACCCCACAAAGAGTCCGTCAGTTACACCAGAGGAGTCCATGCCCACTGGGGTCCTGGGTGCTGCCCCAACAGTGACTCCCAGCCCCTGGCCCAGGCCTGCCAGGCAACACCAGGCGAGGAGGGGAGGGCTGCTCCCAGGGTGGGTGTGAGATCCGCTCAAATCATGAGCCACCCACAATGCCAGAGGCCAGGCAAGGGTTTGGCCCTAAGCCCAGAGAGGGGGAGAAACTCTGGGAGATTAGGGGACAGGCAGAGTCTCCTCGAGGACGACATCATCTTGGAGGGGCTGGCTGCCTGGTCAGTCCAGGTGGAGAAACACAAGCACCATCCTGAACCCCACCCCCTCCCGCCTCCCACCTGTCCCAGAACCTCCCGCCCAGGGCTGTAGCTCCTTTCAGACCTGCTACATGCAGGGGCGCCAGGTGGACGAGCCAAACTTGGGGCATGGCAGCCAGGCAACCCCTCCTCACCCTGGATTTTGGGGGAGATGCTCCTTGACAACTCCACCAGCACTCCCCCTATCCTGAGGTTTGGACCTTGGGGGCTTTAATGTCACCCCAGTGGAGTCCATTTCAAGAAGGGGAAACCAAGACACAGGCCGGGGCAGGTGGGTTTCTGGGAGCTGGTGGAGAACGCATGGCTGAGGCCATCTCCTTTCCTCCCTGTGTCCAGAACCCTGGGTTCCCCCAAGGCCCGGCGGGTCCCCAGGGTGGAGTGTGAGCAGGGAGGTCACAGCAGCTTCTCCCCTTCCCCAGCCCTGCTGGCCACAAGAACGTGACATCAAGGAGCACCCGGAAGTCCACGTTCCCAGAACATCCCAGAAGGCAGCCTCTCCTGTCTCCCCCGAGCCCCAGTCCATCAGCCTGGCCTCCACCCTTGGACAGGCAGCTTGCGGGAGCGCAGCTGGAGACAGTGTGGAGCTCAGCTGAGGATGTTCGAGACCAGCCTGCCGGGGAGAGCAGGGCTGGGGCCCGCTGACCTGTGCTCAGAGACCCTCTGCGAGGGCCAAGCTGCCCCACGCATCCCAGAGTCCAGCCAGAGCAGGCCACGGAGGGAGCGGCAGGCGGGGAGCGGGAGCTCGGGGCCCCTCTCCCTGCCTCCATCCTCAGCGGCCGCTGTCTCTCAGGGATCTTTCTGTCTGGTCTTGATTTTACGGACAGATTGCCAGCGCTGGGGGGGGCGGGGGGGGCAGGGGCCGCCCAGTGCTGGCGAGCACTTCCAGCCCTGGGCCTCTGAGATCCTTGCCAGGCAAGGCGCCCACCGTGCCTCCCCACACAGCCGGGCACGTGGCTCCCTGTGCAGCCCCTCCCTCCCCCTGCACAGCCCCACGGTGCCTCCCGCCAACATCAGGTTCTGAGTCCCCTGAGGCAGTTTGGGGGGTGGAGATTAGACTGTGAGGTGCACATGGGGGTAAGGAACACCCTGAGGGTCCTCAAGTCCCCCCACCAGAGCAGCCTGGGGCTGGGAAGGCGGAGCCTCGCGGGTGAGGTGGGGCCGGAAAGTGGTGGCTGGGGTGGCGGTGGGACGAGTCCTCCCTACCTTGGCAGGTCTTGCCGTCCCCCCGCAGCTGGTGTCCAGGGGGGCAGCGGCAGTAGAAGCCGCCCACCGTGTTGCAGCACAGGCCCTCACAGCCCCCGTTGGCACTGGTACACTCGTCCACATCTGCAAGGGGAGAAGCCAAAGAAGCTCAGGGTCCCCGGGCCTCGGAGCACATTGTCCAGCGAGGCAGGCCTCACGGGGGACCCACTGTGCGGCCTGAGCCACACTGCCCAACAGGGAACACACTCGGACGCAACATGTTTGCAGGTGCCATCTGGGCAGCTTGGCAGAGGAGGTCTGCCCCATAAGAGCAGCCACACGGGGTCTGAACCCCAGAAAGCAGCCTGGGGGTCTGCTCAAGCTGTCGGCTGCAGCTTCAGGTTCTCCAGGGAAACCAAGCTGCCCTCATCTCGGAGGCCAGGAGGGGTCTCCCACGGTCACCCTCACAGCTGCCTGGGACCCATCATGAGAGCTCCAGGCCCAGCCTCCCCTCATGGGTCAGTTAGACTCACGGGGCCTTGGGTCAGACCTGGGACAGGCCAAGAGCCGTGACACGCAGCCCGGCCTCCTGCTGCAGAACCCCCACTCTTCCTGCCCGTGCAGGTGCAGAGGTGGGCAGAGCCTCCACAGCAGGTACCTGGCTGGCAGGGATGCAGGGACTCAGTCCTGGGCAGGGGCAGCACCACTGCCTCCCCACACCTCTGACTCAGCCAGTCAGGGGCTAGGGGACCAAGACTGCTCTCAGGGAAAGTCAGGTGTCCCTAGGACACTTCACACCTGTGTAGACCTGCCCAACACAAGGTCCAGGTACTCCTGCCCACCCACCTCTAGATGCCAGAGTCCCCGGTTCCCCCTGGCTATATGGGACACATAACCTGGAGCGGGGCTCACAGCAAGTGGGGACTCTGACTCGCCCCAAGCACAGATGGCCAGATGGCCAGGCATGTGCCCTCTCCTCAGGTGCCGCTCTGGCGGGTGAGCCAGACCCCTCCTGGACACACACAAGAAGCACACGGAGCTGGGTACCAGCTGGGTCCCAGGCCTGACCCAGCCCCAGGCTCCCCTCGGGCCTGGCATCTCTCTCTGCACCTCCTCAGAGGGGTCCCTGGAAGCCCCCCGGCTGGGCTAAGGGTCTCAGGGATGGCCACAATCCCGTGAGAAAAGCTGTGGCCCAGACAGCAGGCAGTAGTCTCTGGTGGCTGAGACAAGCCGCCAGCCGAGCCTCAGAGGTTGACAGTGGGAATTCCTAGAGAGTTCCGCAGGGCGAGACAGAGGCCTCCGCACAGCACAGGGGTCAGAGCCGGGTGCTCAGGGAGGGTTCCATGGCCCCGCCTGGGGAGGCAGCCCAGAGGCCAGCCCAGCAGCCTGGGAGGGGCCTGTCCTGACATTCAGGCAGCCACAGAAGGCAAGTGGCCAGGTGGGCGAGGTCAGGGACCCTGAAAGTCATCTCACAGTGCTGGCACGGCTGGGCTCCTGCAGGCCACTGGAGCACTGGGCAACTCCATCAGGGCAGGACAACCTCACGGGGCCCTGCCACAATCCTGGGGGGGCACCAGGGTGAGAGGCTGCAGGCCACAGCCTCAGGGTTCCCCTTGCCCACAGGAGAAGTCCTCGGCCTGGCACGGCACCGTTGGGGCCACAGGCCTGGTACTCAGGATGAAACCTTCTGCCCTGTCACCGCCAGAGCTGCTGGGGTGCCCCTCTTCTCCTGCCTAGGCGTATCCATGCTGGGCACCCCACTCCTGGGATGGGCTGAGCCCTGCTCTGAGAGCCCGCAGCCCTGTGACTCTGCTCTGGGTGATGTGCCCAGATGTGCATGCCAGCCCCAGGGCAGGGATGGGCTGGTGCCTGGCCCAGGCCGCGGGGGCCACAGGAAATCCTCCAGGACAGGAGCCAGAACAGCCCTCCCGGAGCCCCACCCCAGGAAGTGGCAGTCCTCAGCCCACGCTGGGGGCCAGGGAGCAGGCAGAGCCACGGGTTCTCTCTGCCAAGCACTGGGCTGGTCGGGTGGGGACACAGAAGGAAGCCCAGCTGCCATCAGGGCACGGGGAAGGAACAGAGAGGGAGAGCGGGCATGCGTAGGGGTCGGTCATGGAAGGACCCACACTGCACTTCAGTTCAAAGTTCCCTGCTCAGTGGGGTTTGCCACCTGCACCCCAACCCTACACACCTTTGGAGACCCATCCTTCCCCCCGGGGCACCTATGCACGTGCTCTGTCCATCGCCTGACCCCCCCAAGAACGTGAGCCCCTGGAGGGCAAGATTTCCATCTTCTTTGGCTTAACTCCAACAAAATGGAGTTGCTTGTGTCAAGCCCTAAAACACACAGCTAGGGGTGGTGATGGAGAGGACCGGATAACAACAAGCAGAGGCCCCCGCACAGGCCCGCTGCCCGGTGACTACCCTCCCAGACCTCAGGCTGGACTGGCCTTGTTCATCCCGTGGCCAAGGGTGACTGCCCAAAGACCCTCGAGCTGCCCTCGCCAGCTGCCTCTAGGTGCTCCCTCACCTCCGCCTCCCTGAACACACATTCAGCCCCCCGCAGAGCCCCCTGTCCCCAGCACGCAGCATGTTCCCCGGAGAATCCCTCAGACCACGCCAAGTGCACAAAGCCAGTCCTGGAAGATCACATACCACACGACTCTTCAGCGCATGTCCAGAAGGAACGAGTCCATGGTGAGCGCTGGCCCAGGCTGGGAGTGAGGGTGATGGGCGGGGTCTGCATGATGCAAACACTCTGGGAGTAGACAGAGGGGACGGTGACACTGCACAGAGGATGTGCCAACACCACCGAAGCATGCGTGCCACCGTGACTTTCACCTCCATGTCCACCAACAGCAGCCCTCAGACAGAGCCACACCCCACGTCTCAGGGGCCTTGGTACAGAGGGAGGGGTGCCCAGACCCCTCCAGACCCGCTCTGGCCCCATCACAGGGGTCCTTGATTAGAGGCAGCAACTCCACAGTTGTCATTAGTACCCAGCAGCCAGCAGCCTGGGCGAGGGCCCCAAAGACCATGCCCTCAGCTAACCCGGCCGGCAGCCACGGGCATCCTGAGGGGGCAGGAGGAGGCCCATTACCCAAGGTCAGGGTGTCCACTCAAAGTGGGTGTCACGATGGGGTCCTCAGGTCAGCCACCTGGTATGAATGGGGGCCGGGATCTGAGGGGCCCGCCATGGCCTTGGCAGGCACTTGTGAGCCTCGGAGCCCCCAGGGGTGAGGCAGATGAGAAAGAGCCCACAGGACCCACCTCAAAGAGCCACTGCCCAGTCGCAGGGCTGGAGCCCCACCAGGTAGTACCCCTCCTGGCAGTGACCCCAGACTCAAGCCTGCCGTGCCCTGCAAGCCCCTCCACACAGTTAGATGCCACAAGGCTCCTGTTGGGGGTACACCCCTCCCCCTGTGCTGGTGACAGAGACGTCTCCAAGGCAAACAGCCCAGGATGAACAGCCAGGGCCAGCCGAGACCCTGGGGACAGAAAGAGGCTGGTCCCCCTCAGCCATGGTGAACCGCCAGGGGAAGGACACCAGGAGTGGCAGGGCCTGGAAGAGGTGTGACATGGGAGTCCCCAGGAGTCAAGAGGCGGGATCGGGCCCTGGGTAGGGCACTCTGCATGGACCTCTGCCCTGAGCAGTGTTCCCTCAGGACAGAGGCCAGCCAAGGATCAGGGACCAGCTAGAGTCCCCCCTTCGCTGTGCCCTGACAGGGAATCAGGTGTCACAGCTGGCTGACTGGACACCCCAATTCCAAGGGACCTGCATCACCATGGCCCCCCCAGGATAGGGGACAGTGGCTCCCACCCTCCCCTCGTACCCCCTTCCCTCAGGGCAGGAGGCAGCCTCCCAGGCACATGGCCTGCAGGCAAGGCTGAGAGCCACTCAGGGAACGAGAAGGGGCCGTGGCCAGAGCCCCAAAGGCTGCAGTTCCCACCAGGAAACCAGCCTTCTCGGGAGGCCAGGCCCGGGAGCTGGGGACTCACCCTCCCCTCCCACTCCTTGTAAGGCAGGGTCCCGAGCGCCAGGCTCCCTCTGGGTCCACATTCCACACAGCAGCACTGGGCTCTGAGCCAGCCACTGCCAGGGACCCTTCTCTGGACGGGTCTGCAGCTCCTTCCTTGGGACCCCTACTTCTCTGTGACTCCAAGCCTGGCTACTCAGCCTGAGCACGGGGCCACCTGGGCTGCCAGCAGATGTTCTGTGCTTTCCAGGCTCTGGGGACGAGGGCAGACACCCAGGCCCCAGAGAGGGCCAGAGCACCGAGGCTCCTGGTGCTGGGTCTGACACCAGGAGGGCAGTGGGACCGCAGGCTAGGACCGAGCCCCCAAAGGCAGAGGAATCCCGTAAAGAAACCCTGGAGACTCCCTTGGGCAGGGTGGCCATGGCCTGCGAAGTGGCCCAGGGGACCAGGCAGCCTTCTCCACCCACAGGGGCCACTCCCCCGGCAGCTCTTCCCCCCAGGAGCTGGCACCCCCAAGCCCTGTGGCCTCTGCAATCCCCACCAGGCAGGGATGCCCCTTCCCCAGGCCCAGAGGGGAACAGAGCAGAGGCAGAGGCCCAGCTGCCCTCCACCACTCAGGCTCAGCCCAAGGATGGGTGCCCGCCAGGCCCGAGGGAAACCTGCAGGCCCCCACCCCAGCCACCCTCAGACCAACCCACATGCCACGCAGGGCCAGGGGGCTGAGGACCTCAGAGAGGGAGCACAGCCCCGTTCAACGGTACCGGGGAAGGCCCAGCCCTCCGCCCGAGACCAGGCCGCCCTCCCGGCCTGCCCACTTCCCTGACCTCTTCCCTCCGGCCCTCCTCCCAGCCTGAGCAAGAGGACCCACAGCTGGCTGGACTTTCCTGCCTGGGGCCTAGGCTGACCCTGGCTCCTCTCACCAGGCCACTGTGGGTGACCTGATGACCTGGGGCCCCTGATGGACCCCTTAGCACGTGGGGACTCCCTTCCTGGGAGTTGTCAGGAGGCACCCGGCCGGCCCACCACCCTACCTGGCGACAAAGACGAGCAGCCCAGGGTGTGTGTGTGGGGAGTGTCCATGTAGCAGAACCAAGTCTGAGCACCCAGGGAGGGCTGACCAAGCCCACCAGGCAAGGGCCAGCCAAGCCTCGACTTGCTGGGTCTGGG